GATAGATTATGTGATCTTTTTTCTTCATCAGCTCTATTGGTATGTGGAATTATCTTAATAGCTTTCCCCATATAAGACCACTTTAACATTCTTTAAATAAACAGCACTGGGTCTTTCAGTGTGCTCTTTTATTAAATGTTTAGAATTTTTACATTAGTTTTCAGAAAGTTGGAATGTAGTTTCCTTTTCATGAATAGTCTTTATTTAGTGTAGTATCACTTCATGAAAATAGTTTAGAAGTCCTTTTCTTTCTTAATTCTCATAAGTAGAATTTGGATGACCTATTTTTTAAGGCTTTAGTAACCTTTTAAATGCTGCTTTCCTAGGAAAAGGACATGGTAAGTCTGACCATATTCTATGCCAGTGATGGCGAACCTTTTGAGCTCGGCATGTCAGCATTTTGAAAAACCCTAACTTAACTCTGGTGCCGTGTCACATATAGAAATTTTTTGATATTTGCAACCATAGTAAAACAAAGACATATTTTTGATATTTATTTTATATATTTAAATGCCATTTAACAAAGAAAAATCAACCAAAAAATGAGTTCGCGTGTCACCTTCATAGGTTCGCCATTACTGTTCTGTGCTCTATGGAAATTAATCTGTATCTCTTCTGTGTTCAGTTTGGTAAATTATAATTCTTTAGAAATATTATTTTAGCTATGTTTTAAAATTTATTGGGGAGATAACTCCTTTATCAAATATCCTCTGTCTATATTCATGATTATTTTAAATATTTCTTATTTCAGTGTCTGTGCTTTCTGTTTTCATTATATGAACTAATGGTTTATCTTATTTTTTATTTGTTTTTGCTTTATGTATTAGTTTTTTTCTTTTTATTTTATTTTATTTATTTTTATTTTTATTTATTTTTTTATATATATTTTATTGATTTTTTACAGAGAGGAAGGGAGAGAGATAGAGAGTTAGAAACATCGATGAGAGAGAAACATCAATCAGCTGCCTCCTGCACATCTCCCACTGGGGATGTGCCCGCAACCCAGGTACATGCCCTTGACCGGAATCGAACCCGGGACCCCTGAGTCAGCAGGCCGACGCTCCATCCACTGAGCCAAACCGGTTTCGGCTCTTTTTATGAACTTAATTCTGCTTTTATACAGTTAATGCCTTTTCTGCTTTGCATTCATTTATTAGTTTTCTAATTTTTTCAGGATCTTAAATTGTTTTAAAATTTTTATTGGTGTTTTTTAATTCCCTTACATGCATTATGATTAAAATTTATAGATACAAAGTTATTGTAGGTTTTTTTTTGAAATTATTACCATTGTTTTTTAAATACAAAAATACTATTTTGGATTTTATTTCCACGTTGATCTAAGAGTTATTTAATATAGACTTCTAAAATTTCAAGTGGATTTACTTTTTAAAATTCTGTTATTTCTAGTTTTAGTAAAAAGTCTATGTGATTTCAACTTTTTTATATAAACCATCTATACTAATAAAAGGGTAATATGCTAATTAGGCTGGATAGACCAGATGTCATTCCAGACGTCATTCCGGATGTCCTTCCTGACAAAGCCGGGGCCTGGGACAAGCCACTCGGGGCCCTGGGTGCCTGCGGCCAGCCCAGGCGAAGCTGGCCCGGGTCCCGGGTGCCTGCGGCTGGCCAGAGGGAGGGAAGCCCATGTCTAGTGTGCCCGTGGCCAGCCAGAGGGAGGGAAGCCCAGGTTCTGGGTGCCTGTGGCTGGCCAAAGGGAGGGAAGTCCGGGTCCTGGGTGCCTGCAGCCAGCCACAGGGAGGGAAGCCCGGGTCCCAGTTGCCTGCGGCCAGCTGGAGGAGGAAAGCCTCGGTCCTGGGTGTGTGGGCTGAGGCAGAGGTGGTTAGGGGCAATCAACCAGGCAGGCGAGCAGTTAAGGGCGATCAGGCAAGCAGGTGAGTGGTTAGGGGTGATCAGGCAGGCAGAGGGGTTAGGGGCGATCAGGCAGGCAGGCAGAGATGATTAGGGGCAATCAGGCAGGCAGGATAGTGGTTAAGGGCGATTAGGCAGGCAGGCAGAGTGGTTAAGGGTGATCAGGCAGGCAGGTAGGCAAGCAATTAGGAGCCAGTGGTCCTGGATTGCAAAAGGGATGTCCGACTGCTGGTGTGGGATCAGGCCTAAACCGGCAGTCAGACATTCCCTGAGGGGTCCTGGATTGCGAGAGGGTGAAGGCCGGGCTGAGGGACCCCCCTTTAATGCACAAATTTTGTGCACCGGGCCTCTAGTATTATCATAATTGAAAAAGTCATCCTTTTTCTCTCATACACAACTCATTCAGTACTTAAATTTTCCTATGGCTTTTTCTCCTGTTGGCTAGGCATATGTTGGTCTGTATTCAATGTGACCTTTGTTAGCAAGTATTTTACACTCCAGAAACTACAAGACCCTTTGTCCCTATTAGTGGATTCCTGACATATATCCTTTTTTTTCCTTTTGTTAAGGAATTCACGAGAACTTCAATAAGGCATAAACATTTACCTCTGTCTGAAAAATCATTGGTACACATTTCTAGGAAATACATGAATGGCCTTGCCTCTGAGGGAATGGAAAGCAGAAGACCTGGGCAAGGGGATAAAGGAACAAAACCAGTTGAGCATTTGTAAAATGGATGAGTAATTGAATAGGTTTAAAGGGAAGATTAAATTAGTAGAACTCCTCAGTATCTTTTTAATATGTGGAGACAAAGAAAAAGTAACCCATAGCTTGGGGATAAAAGAATAAAATGAATTGAGCCTTTGTAAAATGCATGAGTAATAGAATAGGCCTAAAGGAAAATTAAGTAAGTATAAATCATCAATACCATTTTTGTATGTGGAGACAAAGGAAAAGTAACTCATAGCTATGTGAAGGAAGGAATGAGTATTATAGAGAATATTGCATAATTAAGGATATATGAGCAGTGATAAGATGCATAGGAGTACACAGTCACCATTTTCCATTTATATATTTAACTGGAGTAGTTTGGATGAATAAAGGAAATACTTAAATCATTATGGTAAGATATCCTATATAATAAAAGGCTAATATGCAAATTGACCGAACAGCAGAATGACCAGTCACTATGACGTGCACTGACCACCAGGGGTAGACGCCCAATGCAGGAGCTGCCCCCTGGTGGTCAGTGCACTCCCATAGGGAATGCACTGCTCAGCAGAAGCCAGGCTCATGGCTGGCGAGTGCTAAATATGTCCGAACCCAGGGGGAGCAGGCCTAAGCCATCGGTCGGACATCCCCTGAGGGCGCCCAGACTGCAAGAGGTCACTGGCCTGGCTGAGGGACCCTTGAGTGCACAAATTTCATGCACTGGGCCTCTATTATAGTAAATATACTAAAGCCAGATTAGAGACAGAGAAATATATGGGAATTAGTGAAACCTGTTATGTGCTATGAATTTATTTTAATTTTATCTTTTTAATCCTCACCCGAGGATATTTTTTCCATTGATTTTTAAGGAGAGTAGAAGGGAGAGGGAGAGACAGAGAGAAACACTGATGTGAGAGAGACACGTCAATTGGTTGCTTTCTGCACTAGCTCCAACCAGGGTCAGGGCCAAGAAGGAGACTGCCACTGAGGTAAGTGCCCTTGACTGGAATTGAACCCAGGACCTTCAGTCCACAGGCTGACACTCTATCCACTGAGCCAAACCGCTAAGGCTAAATTTATTTTTTAATGGAGAGTAAAGTAGAGATTGTGTTTTTTGCCCTTAAAGAGGTTTAAGGGTAAGAAAATAAGCAGAATAACAATTGGAAAAATTAATAACTATATCATTTCAACATAGATATATAAAAAATATATACATATATAATAACACAGACATGTAACAAAAAAAAAACCAACCCACCCAAAACATCAATTTAGATACTGTCAGTAGAGCTAGCCTTAAAGCAAGTGACTTTTAAACAAAGGGCTTAGGATGAGAAGAAGCTACCATGTAAAAAGCCCAAATCAGATTTGTGAGAGATATAGCAAACTGAAAAGCCTAAAAGATGAAAGTAAGTTGGGACATGTTCTACGATCTCAATAGGTCTCTCCAAGTAGCAGTGAAGAGGACAGTGCTGAGATAATGTGTTATAAGCAAAGGCATTTTAACCACAGTAAGTTTGATTTTATTCTAAGAATAAAGAAAAATTGTTGAAAAAAGTTAAGTATGAATTTTTTTTTTATCTTCGGCAGAATCATATGGAGAATATTGAAATAGGACTGCTCAGGACTGTAGAATCCGATCCAAGAGATTTAGGTTGTATCTAAACCTGAGCATTTGTAATAAGTTCCCTAGTGATTCTAATCCACATCTCAATTTGAAAACCACTGACTTATGTTTACAGGCATATCTTGGAGATATTGTGGATTTGGTTTCAGACCACTGTGATAAAGCAAATATTCACCTTAAAGAAATTCACACAATTTTTTTTTTCTAGAGACTATTCAGTTATGTGTACACTATACTGTAGTCGATTAAGTGTGCAATAGCATTATGTCTAAAAAAAATATACATAACAACTAAAAATTATTTATTGCTAAAACATGTAAACCATTATCTGAACATTGAGTATGTCATAATCTTTTTGCTGGTGGAGAGTAACATCAAAGATAACCAATATAATACAAAACTTTTGAAATATTGCAAGAATTAATAACCAGAATAGAACACAGAGACATGAAGTGAACAAATGCTTTTGGGAAGATGTTGCTGATAGACTTGGTTAATGCAAGGTTGCCACAAGCCTCCAATTTGTAAAGAACATAGTATCTGCGAAGCACAATAATGTGATGCACAATAAAACGAGGGATGCCTATAACTAATACCCAATCTTACGTGAATTCTCATTTTATTTTTGGTGTTCCCTTATGTTTTTTTCTCCTCAAATTTTGTAATAGCTTTAGAATTTCATTGGTCATTACTTTGTCATTTTAAAATTATTATTTATTTTTTTTTGCTGTAGAAATTTTACTACTTTCAGAAAAAGGAACTACATTTTTGTCCTCTTGTTTTCTTTCAGATTTGGAGACCAGGTATGAAACCAAGAGGTTATCCTCAGAAAATGACATTAATGAAATAAACTTAGCCCAGTGGAAGATAATGGAAAGAATTAACACACATGGCCTTAAGAATCTAATTTTAAAAAATAATTGGGAATCCAAAAAAAATTTTAAAGGACAAGAGGGATATTTTGGACAAGTGAAAATAACATCTCAAAAAGTGTCCTCTTACCAGAAACACACATCTCTTACTCCACATCAGAGAATTCATTTTGTTGAGAAACCCTATGAATGTAAAGAATGTGGGAAGGCCTTTAGAGTACGCCAACAACTTACTTTTCATCACAGAATTCACACTGGTGAAAAGCCCTATGAATGTAAGGAATGTGGGATGGCCTTTAGACAGACTGCCCACCTTAATCGACATCAGAAACTTCATATTGTTGAAAAACTGTATGAATGTAAGGAATGTGGAGAATCTTTCATATCTGGCTCAGACCTTAGAGTACATCAGAAAATTCATACTGGTGAGAAGCCGTATGATTGTAAGGAATGTGGGAAGGCCTTCAGAGTGCGTGGGCAACTTACTCTTCATCAGAGGATTCATACTGGTGAGAAACCCTATGTATGTACAGAATGTGGAAAGGCCTTTAGACAGTATGCACACCTTACTCGACATCAGAAGCTTAATACTGCTGACAAACTCTATGAATGTAAAGAATGTGGGAAAGCCTTTTTGTGTGGCTCTGGCCTTAGAATACATCACAAACTTCATACTGGTGAGAAACCTTACGAATGTAAGGAATGTGGGAAGGCCTTTAGAGTGCGACAACAGCTAACACTCCACCAGAGAATTCATACTGGTGAGAAACCCTATGAATGTAAGGAATGTGGAAAGACCTTTAGTCGTGGTTATCATCTTATTCTTCATCACAGAATTCATACAGGTGAGAAACCTTATGAATGTAAAGAATGTTGGAAGGCTTTTAGTCGTTACTCACAACTTATTTCACATCAGAGCATTCATATTGGTGTTAAACCCTATGACTGTAAGGAATGTGGGAAGACCTTTAGACTACTCTCACAACTTACACAACATCAGAGTATTCATATTGGTGAGAAACCCTATAAGTGCAAGGAGTGTGGGAAGTCCTTTAGATTGCGCCAAAAACTTACTTTACATCAGAGCATTCATACTGGGGAGAAACCCTTTGAATGTAAGGAATGTAGGAAGGCCTTTAGACTTAATTCATCACTTATTCAACATCTGAGAATTCATTCTGGGGAGAAACCCTATGAATGCAAGGAATGTAAGAAGGCCTTTAGACAGCATTCACACCTAACCCATCATGTGAAAATTCATAATGTAAAACTATAAGAAAGCCTCAGTCCTGTGTTGTAGAACCTTTATGGGTGTAGTAATTAATTCCTTTTGCTTCATACATGCAATCATCTTGGCATATGTGGTTTTGTAGAATTTTTAAAATGTGGTAATTTAGGAAAAAACCTTTGAAAATGGCAGTGTGTCCCGAGCCTTGTCCCAGAGCAGATAGAATGAGCAACTAAATCGAATAACATCCACCCCAAATTGGCGAAGTAGACACAGCTGGTGAGACAATTCGCAGCCGGGAAGGGCAGAGAACACCTGGAGAATGGTAAAATCAGGAATCTGGGCTGGGGAGAACTGCGAGACCTTCCAGCCCAGAGGGTCAGAGGGAAACTGCATGGCACAGAGTCCGTGTCCCTTGGGTCAGGCACAGCATCTCTCTGTGGAAAGAAGGTCTGCAGGACTGCTGGTGGCAGGGGATTCTAGATCTGGGTCCACAGTCACAACAGACTGAGCCCAGAGGGGGCATTCAGGACAGCTGCCCAGACCTCACTTTGCAGGGAGGAGAGGGGTTCACACAGGTACAGCTCTTTCCCCTCCTGTGGTCTTTGCTTTTCTTTGCTGAACCTAGTTCATAGGACCTTTCGGATATGGACACTCACCTGCGGCTGAGGTGTGGACTTGTGGAGTCTGGGGAGAGGAGAGGGTCCGGGAGAGGTGGCCACGAGTCTGGCGCTGAGTCATACCTGAGCCCGGAACCTGGGCAGCCATTTTCTCCTGAAGAGATAGCCCCTCCCTGCAGTCTCCAGGCAACCAATACAGCCACACCCAGACTACACCCTGAGTGGTACAAAGGGAAAAAAAATCTGAATAGCCCCTGAGAATCCACAGGGACTGGCCTGAAGAGAGGCCTTCAGTCCCAGCAACAGGAAACTGAGAAGCCACAGAGAGTACAGAAGAGTGGGATCTTAAACCAGCCAAAGGAATGACACTTCACTTTTTCATTTTTATTTTATTTTAATATTCTTATCTCTTTTTTCTTTCTTCTTTATTCCCCTTTTTTCATTTGTTTCTTTATTTTCTATTTCTTTTCGCATTATTTTTCCATCATTCTATTTTATTTTTTTATCCTCTTTTTTAATCAACTTTTTCAATTTATTATTATTATTATTATTATTATTATTATTATTATTATTTTCTTCTCTTTTTCTTCTTATGCACTAATCCTCTTTCTACTTTCTCTATACTGAACTGAGGTCCTCCCCACATTCATCCAATTCTTAACGTTACTTTCTGTATATAAGATTCTGCCCCCACCCTCTTTACTGGGAATTTGGTGTTTGTAAGTTTTGGTTTACCTATTTGTTTTCTGGTGTTCCCACCCCCCGCCCCCCCCATATATATTTTTTCCTTTTTTCGTTTTCTTTCATACCATTTTTTCTCTCTTCGATATCATTTGTGCTCTCTTTTCTCTCCCCTACTTCTCTTTTCTCTGGTGGTCACTTATATTGGGGTTATTGGTGTCGTGAGTACATTCGTGTTTTGTTCCCTTTATGTCGTGTCTTGTCAAAGTGAATTTTAACCTGTTTGGCCTAGAGAGTGAGCTAGAGAGTAAGCCACATAACCAGACCCTCGGAGAGGAGACTCCATCCACGAGTGGGTCAATAACACTCCAGGCCCAACAACAGAGGCAGTAAGAAGGCAGCAGTAAGGGAGAGAGCATGAGTGAGGGGGAGCAAAAGAGTGTGGGGTGTGTGTGTGACTGAGGCACACTTAGATCCCACAGGACCTTTGGGGGCAGGCTAACCGGGCTCACCTAACTAGGCAGCCTCTGTTACCATTGCAAACAGTCCCAGAGCGGCTGGCTCACCTCAGAGGCCTCACCTTTTTGAAGGGGAGAGCTGCTGTGACCAAGAGCCCAGCCTCACCTCCACCCAGGGTGCCCTCAGATAACACCCGGGACTCTACAGCCACCCCTGCCAGGGACCTGCTACCTTGGCTGCAGTCCCACAGTCACCGAAACTCCAGCCACCCTGGGCGCAGGCTCCTGTGAGTTCCAAAGCATGCTCCCCTTTGACCAGCCCAACACTTTAGCCCAGGGCACTGCGACCATGCGAGCAGCAGCCCCGCAAGCAGCCTCATGCGGCCTGCTCCCATCTGAGGAGCAGCAGCTGTGCATGCAGCCCACACCCATCCAAGTAGCAGCAGCTGTGTGAGAAGCCCACCCTGGTCCAAAGAGCAGCCTGCGCCCCCGCCTCCCCAAAGGAGCAGCAGCCACATGAGCAGCCCGCCCATGACCGAGGAGCTGCAGCCTCATGCAGCCCACCCCCATCTGAGGAGCAGCAGCCTCACGCACAGCTCACTTCCATCTAAGGAGCAGCAGCTGTGTGAGTGGCTTAACCTGGTCCGAGGAGCAGCAGCTGCCCGAGCAGTCCGCCATGGTCTAAGGAGCAGCAGCCGCACAAGCAGCCTGCCCCTGCCAAGGAGCAGCAGCCGCGGTGCAGCCCGTCCCCATCCAAGAAGGAGTAGCCGAGTGAGCAGACAACCCCTGTCCAAGGAGCATTAGCCACATGAGCAGCCCGCCTCCATTCAAGGAGCAGCAGCTGTGCGAGTGCCCCCCCCCCCACGCCCCCGTCCAAGGAGCAGCAGACTCATGCGCAGCTCACCCCCATCAGAGGAGCAGCAGCCACGCAAGCAGCCTACCCCTGTCTGAGGACCACATGATCTCATTTATGGAATATAATGAATAACAAACTGATGAACAAAAACAGATCCAGAGACAGAGAAGCATTGATTAGACTGTCAAACCTCAGAGGGAAGGTGGGGGAAGGTGGGGGTAAGTGGGAGAGATCCACCAAAGGACTTATAGCATGCATATAAGCCTAACCAATGGACACAGACAACGGGGGTGAGGGCATGAGTGGAGGTTTGAGGGGACAATGGGGCAATAAGGACACATATGTAATACCTTAATCAATACAGAACAAACATTATAAAAATGTGGTAATTTAATGTATTCTACCATTACTCAAACCTGATAAACTTCACATTCATTCTAAAAACTGATCTTAATATAACAAATGTGGGAAAGACACTTATCTCTATCCCATCACTTTCCTACTTGTATTTTATTGAACAATATGCTATTAACTGCTCTGCATTACAATTTATTCATTTGTAAAATCTATAATAATAAAAGTGTAATATGCTGATTAGACTGGATGTCCTTCCAGATACCTCCCCCACGAAGCCAGGACTGCAAGGGAAGTGCTGGTCCCTGGTGCCTGCTGGCAGCCACTGGGAAGCCCAGGTCCTGCAGCTGGAGGGAAGCCTGGGTCCTGGGTGCCAGAGGGAAGCTGGTGCCAGCAGCCGGGGGAAGGAAGGCCTACTCTTGCATGGATTTCGTGCATTGGGCCTCTAGTGGTAATATAATACTGTGGCAGAGTAATATTACTGTAAATTCATTGATACTCCCTTCAAGAGGTGGAATTTACATCCTTTCCTCTTGAATATAATCAGACTTTGACCAGTAGAATATAGTGAAAATGCCAGTTTCTGGACCCAGACTTACTGGTATATTTTATTTCATTTACTAGTATTGGCATACTCTCTCAAGTTCAGACCCTGAACTGTTAAAAAGTCTGGCTACTTCTCTTGAAGATACCACATGGAAAAGTCCTGAGAATACAGAGAGGGAGAAGTGCTCAGTCTTCCAGACATGCCCACCAGGACACCAGACAGTTGAGTGACATAGTTTTGGATCCTTCAGATCAGCCACCAGCAGAATGCCATTGAGTGACCTCAGTTATTGCTCTATAGAACAGAAAAATTGATCAACTGAGCCCCTGCCCAAATTCCTGACCCACAAAATCATGAGATACAATAAAATGGTTGTTGGTTTAAGCCTAAATAATCAAAGTTGACTTAAGATACTATAAAAAAAACTTGTACAGATCTATAAACAAAGGAAAACATTTAAATTTAGTTATCTTGTTTTTCTTAAAACCAGAATCAATAGTTTTGCAGGCAACAAGAAGTTTTAAGAATAGATAACCTCTAACAAAATTTTTCCAGATCATTCTACAATGCACTATTTTAATAGATGAGAATAGCCCCTAAAAAGTAAAATCTAGATCAGTATCAATAAAGATATATGTAAGCATTTCAAATAGAGTTTAGTAAATTGAACTCAGTAGTTTATTAAAATGATTATAAAACATAAAGTTATCTACCAGGAATATCCAGGGACTTGATCTTTTGTGATTCAATTAGGTATCCAGATTTTAGGTTTTCTAACCTGAGCAATGTAACAACAATGTTGGAAAAAATGACATGACTCAGCTCTGCTATCTTATAAATTGTTTCTCTTCTTATTGTTTATCTTCATTATCTTTTAAAAAGGGATAAACAATAGCCTGGTTGGCATGACTCAGTGGTTGAGCATCAACCTATGAATTAGGAGGTCAGGGTTCCATTCCTGGTCAGGGCACATGCCCAGGTTGTGGGCTCGATCCCCTGTGGAGGGGCTTGCAGGAGGCGGCCAATCAATAATTCTCATCACTGAAGTTTCTATCTCTCCCTCTCCCTTTCTCTCTGAAATCAATAAAAATATATATTTTAAAAGGGATGAACAATAGCTATAAAAAATAGGCATTCAACCCTTAGAAACCTTCCATAAATAAAAATGAGTATTGCTACACACTTCATTTTGAAACAAACCTCTGTAATGTTCCTGTAGTCAAACAATACATTATGACTTGTACCTACAAGTCCATTTTGCTCATAATGGGCAGATTGGGCAGATCCATTGAAAAATCATTCACCGTCTAGAATAATACATAGTTCCCACTCATTTCAATTTTTTTTAAATTTGTAAAGATTACACACAATGTTTACACAAAAATATCATGCTGAAGAGTATTATAAGTACTATAATAAAATTAATTTTTGTCCGTAGGTCAATGTATTTCTCCTTCATGGTTACATTTTTATGTTAGAGGTCTTCTGGAGACAGTACCTTAACTCAAAATTTCTGAAAGTATGTTCCACAAAACTAGTATTTAATGGTACTTGAAAATGATTTTGTGGTCAAACAAGCACAGGAGCTCTGTATACGTTATTTCTTGGAGGGGGGTGGGGGGGGACACATAGAGTCTCTATAAAAAATATTTCATTTCATCGCCCTAGTCCAGGGGTGGGCAACCTTTTTGTGAGTGAGTGCCAAAACCAGCAAAATCTCTGACTCAAAATTCTTCTGCGTGCCAACCCTAATTTTTTGAGAACATGTTACGCCTACTTGATATCTCTTAAGGTGTACATATGTGAAGAACCTTGAAGAAATAATAAAATTCATTCGAGCAACAAAAACACAGTATATGATGATGGAAAATACATTTATTTTTTAATGTATACATGTACAATGATAGTCCGACAGAAAATTTTATGACTCCGTTTGATATTATCAGTGGGACTTTTGCTGCTGCATCACTGATGACAGAGATTTTACATCAGGTTTATATTTCGTGACCTTCAGAGATATGCACGAGCTACTACTTTCATCCGCCAGGCTACTCCTATTACAAGACTTAACAAAATTTATCACGGAGAACAAAGATTCACAATTGTAAATGGAAAATTATAAGAGAGGGTTTCACATGCCAGCAAAAGTTACTGGCGTGCCAGGAGTTGCCCACCCCTGCCCTAGTAGGTTTGGCTCAGTGGATAGAGTGTAGGCCTGTGACTCAAGGGTCCCGGGTTCAATTTTGGTCAAGGGCACATGCTCAGGTTGCAGGCTCGATCCCTAGTAGGGACCATGCAGGAGGCTGCCGATTAATGATTTTCCCTCATTAATATTTCTATCTTTCCCTCTCTGAAATCAATAAAAATATATTATATATATTTCACTTTATCTAAACCTGTGTATTTCACAAAAATAAACTCAAAATGGATAAAGGACTTAAATGTACGACAGGAAACCATAAAAATTCTAGAAGAATCCAAAGGCA